GGGGCTCCCGGAGCCGCCTCCCGGCCCCCACCGGCACCTGCCGCCACCCCCAGACCCCCGGCGTCCCCTCACGGTGTTACGGTTGAACCGCACCTGGAAATTAAACACAAACCTGGTACGGGGGGGGGAAACAAAAATAAAGGTTGTGTGTGCGAGTAACAACAGCTTAATAGTGAGAAATGAATTAAATACTGTGAAAACAATAAGTAACCGTGATAACAGAAAAAGGAAGGGCTAAAAATGCCAATTGCTGACTCCATTCCCACATCCACATTCCTTCCCCCACTTTGGGATAATTCCCGGTAATTCCTCCAGTTTATATCCTGGGAATGACAGTCTGTGCTGGGGAATAAACCTTTGTCCAGCTGGCATCACCTGTCCTGGTTTCCTTTTGAAACTCCTCACTGGGGGAGCAGGAGACACAAAAAGGGAAAGAATCCCTTAATTTAGGGATTTTATTCGTTTATCCCTGACTTGGGATAAAGCACACAGGTCACACTTCCAGCTGAAGCGGCTGGCAGAACGTGGAGAACACGGAATATTCGCTCCTTTTCCTGTTTTTTTTTTTAATCAATAGAAGTACAATATTTAATATAATTAAAATAAAGATTGAAAGGCAAGCGCTGTGTGGTGTTGCAGAGGAACGCGGGCAGCAGCTCGGATGGAACAGAGGACTCGGATTTCTCCACGGATCCCGAGCACACGGACAGCTCCGAGAGCGACGGCACCTCCCGGAGATCCGCCCGCGTCACCCGCTCCTCCGCCAGGCTCAGCCAGAGCTCCCAGGGTGAGGCTGGGCTCCTGCAGCCGGGAAAGGCTCATCCTGAAACTGGGGATCCTTAAATCCTTAAACTGGGGAAAGCCTCATCCTGAAACCGGGGATCCTTAAATCCTTAAACTGGGGAAAACCTCATCCTGAAACCAGGGATCCTTAAATCTTTAAACTGGGGAAAGGCTCATCCTGAAACCGGGAAAGGCTCCTCTTTAAACTGTGAATCCTTAAATCCTTAAACTGGGGAAAGGCTCATCCTTAAACTGGGGAAAAGATCATCTTTAGACTGGGGAAAGGCTCCTCTTTAAACTGGGAATCCTTAAATCCTTAAACTGGGGAAAGGCTCCTCTTTAAACTGGGAAAAGGCCCTTCCCTAAACTGGGGAAAGGTTCCTCCTTAGACTGGGAAAAGGCTCTTGTTTAAACTGGGGAAAGGCTCCTCTTTAAACAGGGAAAAATCCCTTCCTTAAACTGGGAAAAGGCTCCTGTTCAAACTGGGAAAAGGCTCTTCCTTAGACCAGGAAAAAGCTCTTCCTTAAACTGGGAAAAAGCCCTTTCCTTAAACCAGGAAAAAGCCCTTCCTTAAACCAGGAAAAGGCTCCTCTTTAAACCAGGAAAAAGCTCTTCCTTAAACCAGGAAAAAGCTCTTCCTTAAACCAGGAAAAGGCTCCTCTTTAAACCAGGAAAAAGCTCTTCCTTAAACCAGGAAAAAGCCCTTCCTTAAACCAGGAAAAAGCTCCTCTTTAAACCAGGAAAAAGCTCTTCCTTAAACCAGGAAAAAGCCCTTCCTTAAACCAGGAAAAAGCTCCTC